TTAGCAAAAATAACAAGTGGAACAAATCGAGTTGAAGGGGTTAATTAATCGAGCAACTTGACGCGACCATTTTACGTCTCGACGATTATGAAACCGGCGACGTCCGTGTTCTCTGTTTTCCGCTTTCGAAACGATCGTATCGATGCGAATCACTTGCACTTTGTTGAAAAAAACCAATTTCGTCGCAGCCGCGCCGCGTTGGTTTATAAAAATTCTTGTTGATTGTTTAACAGCCTTGTCAAAGAAAGCGGGGCGAGCTTTCATAACAGAAACGGTGGCAATTTGCGGCGAACTTCTGGCAATAAATTGAACGTCACAATTTTTTTCATGAGTATGTGACTGTTCGACGAGCACGCGTTTGCGAAGAACGAACTTTATTACTGAAAAGAAACAACCTGGTCCAGCGGGTTCGGTTTACACGGGAATGGTTTAATAAATAAAACTACTCGCTTCGAATATTGGCTCGGCTTTTTTCTATTCCTCCCCTGTACGCCTGTGTTCCCTTTCTTTTTATACATATTATCGATCGGCAAAAAATAAAATGCGCACAAAATTTATACATGCGTGTGTGTGTGTGTGTGTGTGTGTGTGAACAGTGCGACAGGATACTTCTCAGTCTCTAATCATTAGACCGGACAGCAATTCATAGATTGCTTTTAATGGCGCTTTTAACTTTGCTTTCAGCCAAGCACGACTTTTACGAAAGCCTGCGACCCTCCCGATAGTAGTTTTAAACTAAAATGACTATTTTTGCACGCGGCGATACACGCGAGAAGGTAAACTCGTGAAACGCTTAATTTCGCCAAGTCGAAACGCGGCAATTCCGTTGGACTTTGCAAAGCACCGCGGAGTCTCGAGTTCACCGGCGTAGTTCGAATTCGAACGATTGCAGGGAGCTATTTTCGACGAAAAGAAAAAAAAGCCATCGCTCCTGTTATTTACAGATAAGGTCGGGCCATTTTCCGGGTGTGTAATTTCCACGATCGTCCGACCAAGAGTGTAATGGGTATCTGGCGAAACTTACGAAACTGGAACAGCAACGTGGAAGAGCAACTAAACGCCCAAGTGATTCCCAAATACAATTTCCTGGCCGCGAATCGCCGCGGACGCGTTTCGAGAAACGAAGAACAGAGAAGGAGGCGGAGGACGAGGAACCGATGACAAGCAAGAAAGTTAATCGAAAGCAGAACCTCCCGAAAGTGTTTCCGTTCCAGCGGGCTGTCTTTAAACCGCGCGTTGTTTAAACGTGCAAGCTCGCGACAGTCCGCATGACACAAAACATGACACACAACAACGTTTCAGCGTTTCGCCGGGAAAAAAAAAAAAAAAAAAAAAAGAAACAGAAAAAAGTTACCCGGAAATTGGCCGCAGATACACCCGGTTGGCCAGGAAAAAACAGCCGGGTGCAAAAGTGAATTCGGAAAAATAGAGAAGAGAACAGTGGGAGAAGAGAACGAAACGAAACGCGATGCAACAACGAACGAGGGGNGAAAAACGAAAAAAAAAAAAAAAAAAGAAAAAAAAGAGGAAAAAAAGAAAAAAATATCAAAAGCAATCAATTCCTTTTTAGCTGGTGAACAATGTTGCTCGCGGCTTGTACCGCGTGTCGCTTGTGGCGATTCCGGGGGATGGTCTCCTCCGCCCCCCCCCCTCCGCCCCCTTTACGCCGTGTGCGTTACAGCGCGAGCGTGTGTTTTCTATGGCGCGGCGCACGTTGCATATTTAAAGCAGGGCGCAAGGATGGAATATAAAGTCCGTCGGAAAACACCGCTCTCTGGCTCGGGTTTTCTAAAAAGAAACGAGAGAGAAACTCGGGCGGGGGCTTGTAGTAACCCGCCGTTGCGCCAGAAGAATTAATAAAGCAACGAGAGAAGCAACGTCACGTGGTTTATCGTTGTGTTTGCCCGAAAGAAAAGGCCACCCCCGGACCGTGCATGTTTCTCTCTCTCTCTCTCTCTCTCTCTCTCTCTCTCTTTCTCTCTCATACGCCACGGCTCACGGTTGTAATTCCGTTCCACGCGGCTGCCCGGCAACGGCCTCACCTGAGCTTATGACTTTTATTCGGGGCCGGCGTATTCCGCTTTCGCGCCGCGCGTCGCATCGCTCTTTCTCCAGGCCGGTCACGAACTGTCTCTGAATCGCAACAATTAAAGCAAAAGGACCGGGCCACCACCACCACCGTGCCACCCCTTTCCTTCGAATCTCCAGACCTTCGTGTTCCTCTCTTTCTCTTTCTCTCTCTCTCTGTCTCTCTCTCTCTCTCTCGCTCTTCGCGGTGAAAGAACGCGACAGATCGCTCGCGCCACCGTTATTGGGTGGAAATTACGAAGCGCGTGAAGCGGACGGAATTACATTCGTTTCCACGCATCGCCCCCTTCTCTCGCGTCGCCTTCGTTCGTTGAAACAACGCTCCGCTTTGGAATCGATCTCGGTTTTGGTCGAGACTGCGACCGACGAAAGTTCACGAGAAAATTTCCACGCTTCGAACCGTGTACAGACAGCGAACAGAGTACCATGAGAGTGATTATGTTTCGCGGAGAGTTTGAAAACGATTTTCGGGGTACGCACGTGTAAAAGTTACCGGTAAATGCCGGTCACTCGATTGAATTCTCGGCGGTCTCGGAGAGAGAGAGAGAGAGAGAGAGAGAGAGAGAGATTGCTGGGGCGATGGAAATCTTTTTCGAACGATAATAAATCGAATAACGAAGTATATATAGAAGAATATTCCCCTTAGACTTTCTCTGCTCTTGAGCTACGTCGCGAGCGAGTTATGCTAAATTGTAAATACACGGGGACTCGGTTGCGCGCGAGGGTGCAAACAAATGGGGCAAAAATGCCCCGTTCCGGCCGATCTGCCGCCATGGTTATTAACCGTACGTAGGAAGCAAGAAGGACAGAGAAACAAGTACCGCGGTCGGGCTTTAATAATTATTATCTACGGTCACGTGAGCATAATAACGTTGGCGTGTGCCGCGCTTTGATAATCGCACGTGCATTGCCTCTTTAAGTTCTCTCCATTCAATCAAGCCCGGTCCTTGTTCGCTTCTTGAGCGACCGAGCAAGCGATTAATTGGAGAAATACCTCGAGGGTGAGAAGAGAGAAAGAGAAAGAGAGAGAGAGAGAGAAAAAAAAAGAATGATTGCATGTACTCGACGAGTAATTAAGTGTTAATGTATCCTGTCGTCGTTGGCGTTTGCTTGCCAACTAATTAACCCTGCACGCTTCGTTTGCCACCTATTCAAGGAGGCGGGGCCTTTCGTAATTTGTCGCGAAAGAACAATCGACGCACGATAAACATTGAAGATTCTCTCAGATGCTAATACGCGCCCTCTGTCCGGGGAAAATGTTTCACAATAATTTTGATTTTCAAATGTTTTACGTCACCTTTCGTTCGGTGTCGAACCTTTCGATCCTCTGGGGCCTCATTGGCCAACGAAAATAGCTTACATATTTCTTTTTCAGTACAATATTGTTTAGATATGATGAAACAAAACATTGATAAAAAAAATATATATATATTACATTTATACAAATAATATATTTACATTAATTTGAAAAAATATGAGAACACTGAACTTGTTTTTGATATATAGGTAGTGGCCAATATTTTCAAGATGTTTGTCCAAAAATTTTATTTTTTGCTTCAGACGGTGGAAAAGAAAATAGAGACATTACGAACATTCGTAAATTAAAGTTATTCAAGTAAGAAAATTCTTATTTCGATTATACAACACGGACACGCCTGTTTCATATATATATATATATTTAATCGAATTTTACCTTTCACGCCTCGGCTTAAAAAACTGCTGTGCGTCTTGTACGGATCGAGAAGACACCTTATGCGTTCTAGCTGCACGAGGAAGCGCGCACACGTCACACGATGGGGGTAAAGTCGCAGTATTTCGGTATTAGAAAGTAGTGGCTCTCGGCGCTTTTAAGAATTTCGCCGGAAGCTTTTAAATGGACAGCCTGGAAAGTTGCTTTGACGACGATACACGAGCGAGATCTCGCCCGGGATTTAAATCTTCCCCGTACCCATTCGAATGCGATTTTCTTCCTCAGCTTTGCGCTGGCGAACCCGTTAACGCAGGCGAGTCTCGAAAATATGGAAAGAGCAGGCGGAAACGAACCGTGCACGCACGCGTACGCATCGATATTTTAATCTTAATCGTATTTACGAATAAAATTTATTACTCGTTCACGGTTCAACCGTTCCTCGGCGGCTGAGCATTTCGGCGGTCGAATTAAATCAGCCCGCTAATTAACGTTGATTATAGAACGATCCGCGATCTAGAGCGTTGCGCGAATTCCTCCGGTATTTTTTCCTCCGCCGACACAAAAGGTCCCCGGCCGCACGAATTAAAAAGTACACGCGTTTGATATTGATTATCGCGGTGGAAAATTTGAAACAAAGTGTCGCACAGTCCGAGAGCTGTGGAATTCGCAGTTGCGAGTTTAATCGACGCCAGAAGGTAATAAATTCGCTGGCGCATCGACGCAAAACGATACGCAAAAATAAATTAATAAACTTCAATATTGTTGCTGATATTCCTCTCTTGGCTGGCGTATCGCGCGCACGCGAGGCAGAAGTAAAACATTTTCGGGCAACCGGCGGAGATAATAATTATGATTTACGGTCTGGTAGTTATAATTCCACCATCGACGGCAAATTATATGCCTGCTTTTCAAAATTGCGCTCACGCACACACGGACGCCCACAGATTTGGAAATTTCTGTTTTCTCTGAAACGGCAACGCTTCATTATTTCTCCAATTATTCAACATCTTTTGACACAGAGAGTATACACGCTACTCTCGCCGAATACGCGAGTTGATTCAAGCCAGTACCAGTAGTCAGTCGACGATTTAAAACTGAAAAAGTTGCTCCTAGTGGGGTGGGGTTGAAATTTCACTTTACGTACCCGATCGCTGCAAACCGTACATGCGAGCCGAGAGATTCGGGGATAAAATTTTACGTCTCCGATGCGATTCGCACTCACCTGTCATAGTAGTAGTCCCTGAAATCAAACAAAAACACAACAGACGATTAGTGGCGAGCAAAATGTTTCAACTTCTTCTTCATTTGAGAACCGCGATACGAGTGCAATTTTCGAAAAACAATTCGAGCGACGTTCGAGTACTTCGGTTCCGTTTGAAACAGCCGACAACCGAGAGCAATATCTGCGATTGTTCGTCGAACGAAGCACTATACAGGTACGGTAATGTTTATACACTTTCGAAAAAACGCAGCAGTACCGCGAACAAAGAGAAAAATCGGATCGCGTTTCGCGATACTGAAATAAAGAACTCCTGAGGATTTTATCTGGATCACGCGGGAAAGGTTTCAAATTAAAAATTACCAATAGGGAATTCGAACGAAAATTTCGCAAATTACTTGTGATAAATTATTCGAACGGATCAGATTACGGTTAGGTCGGATCACATTGGACCTTGTGTGTGCCCCGACTGGAAAGTCTGTTACATTGTGACAGGGTTTCATTTACATTAATTGGGTAGTAAAAGCCAAAGTTCAATCACTGTTTAGCGTTCACTGATTCCGGCAAGGTACGGCAGTGTGTTCACGTTCCAGTCACGTTTCAGTCTAGCGAATGACATTTCAACAGTGATCGAATCGTGACTAGACCGTCGTGTCGCGTCGCGTCGCGTCGCGTCGCAAGTCAAATCGAAGGTTGCTTTCGGCGTTCGTTTCTCTTTCGCTCGAAATTCGGCGCTTTAAATGCATTCCTGCTTGCGTGTCTCTTTAAATAGACAGTGTCTCTTTCCTTTCCAATTATTTCTCAAAAAAAAAAAAAGAAAAAAAAAGAAAGGACGCGACGATTTCACTTTTTTTGTATTTGTATTCTCAAAAATCTAAATCTCGCGCAACTCGAAAGAAGCGAAACGTCCTTCGTCGTTAACGTTCCATCAGAAGAGGGGAGGGTATGACGTGCAACAGATGTTCTTAAATATCCAGTATGTTCAGCGGAACGGGAAAAATCGGGGTTGACCCGTGTCGAATCGACTAAACGATAGATTCAATGATGCGAGGCCGTTTCTGTGCCTGGCTACAGATATTGATTTGTTCGAAATGGTTTCCGAGGAACTGGCGCTAGCCTTTTATTATATATCGATCGCTTGCATCTTTTACACTAATAGTTGTTGCAGCTTTCATGTCACCTTCCGAGAAACGTGTATAGCAGAAGGCGAAGCTAACCCCCCATTCTTTTTTTCTGAAACGCTCTGTACATCGGGGCAACAATTCTTGTCGAACGTCGAGTTTTTTCTCTCTCTCTCTCTTCCTTTCTCTTCGTGCAGAGAAACGTAGTTTACGCGTTTCCGAGAAAGCTGCGAATAATTACGACTATTTATACGAAAAGGGTTACGTTCCATTCGTTTTGCACACTTAAGGTTATCGGGCGTTGCGCAGGGATTACCGCGAATTACACGGGTCCACGTATATACACGGGTGATAAAAGTGGAGCGACTAGTGAAAGAAATGGTCAACGAAGAAAAGGGCATGAAGAAGAAGAAAGGTGGACGGATTACAGATCGCAACAGATCGAAAGAAACGACGTATTTCCCTTATTAAGAGGGAATTCTCTCTGCGCAAGTGTTGCAAAATTAAATTATTTTTCTAAATAACTCTCTTCGAGCTTCTTTTTCCCCTTTATATTTCTTTCCCGTTGATTTTCCGTACTGTGTGTTAATTTAATTGAATTATTATTATAATAATATTGTAGCAAGTTTAATTTTCACTTGGTGTGGATGAAATCTCAAAAAATACACGATGCATACATTCTACGTGCTATTGACTCTTCTGAGCAACAAAATTATATTTTTTACAATTTTACTTTTAAAAATTACCGAGAGAAGAACGAGATTCGGGGATTTTCAGTTTACAATATTCACCACTTTATCAATTAACCTAGTTTGGCACGAACGACAACGATAAACGTTCTGAGCAATAATTACAAATTATTGATTTCTTTGTTTTTGCCCAGTCTGAGAGATACAGTCGTCCACGTTTCCGTCGTTGGCAAAGTGAAACCAAAGGAAATTATCGTACACGACAAGAAAGAAACTGAATAAAGTAAAATTGAAATAAATAAGAAAGAAACTAGACAAAACATTGTAAACTGAATAGAATTATAAATAAGAAAGAAACTAGATAAAGCGAAATTAAGAAAAAAATTTGGAGAAAAGGGAAAAGTCCATGAAAATTATTAAATTTACAGAGGGAAGAACTCTATCGGTGTTGGTGAAATTTCTCGATCACCTGCGTGTTAAGAAATACGATTACAAAAATGTTCCCCGGGCCAGTAGCTTGCCTCGCGAGTAATTTTGCGAAATAATTAAAAAGTTACCGGGTAAGCGTGTAAAAAAAAGGTTCGGGGCGTCGAAGTTTATATCGAATAAAGGAATCCGGCTTTAATTATCGTTTCCCCATCGTTTCAAAGCGTCTAATACGTGACAAGTTTATCGGTAAGTGGTCTATTATTCACTTAACCGCGGACAGCGGCGCCGGTTCTTTGAGGATGGGTCAGCGATTTAAGAGAAAATTGCCAATTACTTTACTCCCTGTAAGTACTCGAGGGCTTGATACATTCTGAGGCATCGAGGCGTTACTTACACCGACTGCTTCGGAGAGACAGGCCAACAACAAGAGAGAGAGAGAGAGAGGACACGAGAGGTCTACGAGGACAAGCAGCTGAGAAATTAGACGAGAAGAATAAACTTCCTCGCCTTCGGCTCGATAAAATGAAATTGCTAATTTTTTTTTTTTTTTTCTTCTCCTGCTTTCCTCGATCGAGCCGCGATTTAATTAATCAAAACACGTCAGCCAGAATTGAAAGGAGAAAGAATCGAATTTGAAAATAAATTTTCAGCGCGTTGCCGACGTAAAAAAACGTTACGATGGTTAGATCGATGGCTCGCGCGTATTTCCGCGAAACGGTGGAAGCTAACCTTCTTCGAGTGGAACTTTATTTGTCGGGAAATATGTTTTGCCGACAAACGCTCATCCAGCGTTATGTATTGACAAACGCTTATCGAATTAATTGTTACACCGTGGGGCGGAGGAGAATTACCGACAACGAAAGAGAAGAAGAACGATAATCGAATTTGCGGGACGATCGAACGAACGAAGAGCGTTTCGGTCAATAAACGGTCCATTAGTTGCTGTTTAAATACACGATTTCTGCCGTCGAAAGAGAGGAAACGGAAGGACGCTGACCGTGAAATGCCTCCTCCTCCCTCCCGCCGGATCGAAAAGGATCGACTTCAGAGAAAATTGCCAATTACTTTGATTGCTTTGCTTTGCCGAACGGAAGCCTTCCCCGTGCCACCACTCTGAGCAATTCTGTGTCTTCGTACATTAATGTAAAGGGCTGAGAAACATCTTGCAAGACTTTCGAGTCTTAAACAGAGGCAAATTTCGAGCTAACTAATGGACCCTCGGAACGATCCTCGGCATACTGAATGCGCAATCGACCGGTTCCCGATGAATTATCCCGCGGAAATTTCCATAACGGCGAGAGAGGCAAAACGAAAGTAATATTAATATTAATATCCCAGTGTCAATTAATCAGCGTGGTCGGAGCTAGTTTTACAGATGGAACGTTGAGATCTTTTCAAAGTCGTAATAATTAATTATCGGGGGGCGAGGGGGTGGTGAAAGGTCAAAGCAGCGTGAAAATAGGAATTCTAAATTTGGTTTTAATTCGGTAACGATCGATGAACACACCGTTGAACGAAGCATCGAAAATACTCTCTCTCTCCGCGTTAGACAGTTCGTTATTTTTTCAGAGCGAGGACGAGAAATGTCGACCGGATCCGAGAGTGCGTTCGTAAAAAAAAAAAAAAAAGAAGAAAAGAAGAAAGAAGAGAAAGAAGAGATGTCAGAGACTGGGAAAACGATCGCGAATTCATGACCTAGAATGTCTGAATATTATTCCCTGGTCGAAAGCGCAACTACGACAGTTCTGGTCCGTACAGCGATTGGACACGAATAGCAAATCGATTGACGATTACTGAAGCGCGTAATTCGAAATACAGGGTTTACCGAAAGATACGAACTTTATTCGACTATTATACTTGATAAATTCAGGCGAAAACGCTGCATCTGGTTGCGGACCGAAGGGGAAAAGAAAGAAAAGAGAAGGAGAAAAATGAAAGGGAGGAGGAAGCAGAAGAAGAAGAAGAAGAAGAAGAAGAAGAAGGAAAGGAAAATATGTAATGTCGTTACGAATCGGCGGCGCGGCGATCATTAAATTCACGTTTTTCAAATAAAGATTTCAACTTACGCTTTTATGCAACGATTTCGCGTCCGTGCTTTCAGCAAAAGCGGACGAATCCCGCGCAATTTATAAAATCCGAAAACGTGAGATAAAATGCAACGAAATGTACATAATATTTTGTCTATTGTTCGCCGCACTGCGTAGCCGTGTCTTCGTCATTCAAGCGAGGAGGGAACAATGCAGCGATTTAATTGCAAACATGTTCCGATGAAATTTGAAATTATAAATAAAACATTTTTGTTTCTCTTTTCTTTTTTTCTCTTTTTCCTCTTTTTTTAGTGCAAGCCGACAACTGCAGCGCAAATAATTGCTCTTCGAACGTGCACGTTTGTTTTATCTGTGTGCTATATTTCTTTGTAATTATTTACTGCAAATTTGCACGGGTGAACGTGCCCGACGAAATTTCACGGTTTAATTAGGAGAACGAAATTTGGAAGACACAGATACAAACCATCAAACAGTTGAAAAAAAAATAAATAAAAAAATGTAAACTGTTAATAGCCTGTCAGCACCCGGGGAATATTCATGTGTCTCGACGTTAGATTGAAAATTGGGAACAGATGCATTCAATGCGCCCCACGAGAGGGAAAAAAAAAGGGGAAAAGAGCGAGCGAGAGAGAGAGGAAGATGTCGATGTGTAGAATAGGTTAGCGTGTATCGAAAAATGACGGTGTAATTATGGGGGCCGATTGTTCCCGATTCTTTGTTATCCAAACTTTCGG